TGGCTCGGCACATGAAAAACCACACTGGAGAGTAGCCTGGGGCCTGGCTGCTCCGCTTGGAGCCCCCGGCTGCAGGCGCAGGCGGTGGGGGAACTTTCCCTGGGGGCCCCGCCCTTTTGATTTCAGAAATGCATGTCCTGAGAATGTCAAGGCTTGGGGGTCCCCAGCCCACCTGGCAGGAGTGGCATGGGGAACAGCAGCTGTGTGTTCTTGGGGGCCTTGTGGAGGCCCACGCCCTGCAGGCAGTCTTCCATGTAGCCCAGGACCCGGCCAGGTTTCCTCCATCAGCTAGGGACAGGATCTCTGCCTTCTGTGACTGCTCAGTGCAAGTGGCTGCGGGCATGGGGTTGGGGATCTTGTTACTCTTAGGTCTGGCTGTGATGGTGTGTGTTGTGTTGTCACTGAGTGCAGGAGTGTCAGCAAGTCCTCCCCCAGCGTCTCCTGAGGCATTCTGGCTTTGCACTGGCTCTTACCTGATGGCATCCTGTTGTCCCCGCTGCCTTCCAAGGAGGGGTGGCCTGAGACAGTCGGCAAGGTTTATCTGCAGATGCTGGGACTTGGGGAGATGCGGAGGATAAGAGGCTTCCATGAGGCCATTGCTGGGGCCTGTTCTCGGGTGGTACTCTGCGCTGTGGCCTCTTGACTTCCGTCAGCTGGGTGGCTGGGACCTGCAGGCTGCCTCTGCCGCTGTGGGTGCCACTATGGGTCCCTGCTCTGCAGCCCTCCTCCGGTGTGGGGGCCGGTGCTGACGTCAGGCTTGTTCCCCCTCACTCGCCTACCCGTGTGTGTGGAAGCAAAGAGGGTCAGTTCTGTGGTGCAGAGGACCGATGTTTCCAGAGTGCGTGCGAGCATCGCTTTTGGGTGACTGAGGGCTCAGGGCAAGGGGTCAGGCTATCTGCTGCGGAGCTGGGTGCTTCCGGAAGAGGAAAGACCAGCCTGGGCGGAGCCCCTAGTGGCACGCGGAGGCCTCTGCCACTGAGGACTGCTGTGGCCAGTGAGCGCATGGGCTGTGCAGTTGTGTAGCGGCAGGGCATGGATGGCGGGCAGGGGCTCGCTCCTCTGGGTGTTCTGGTGTGTTTTCACCATTGATGTCTTGGACAGCCCTGCCATTGTCTTGCCTTTCTGCAGTGACATTGGTGTCCCTTCACTGGGTGGTGTTGCAGGCTGGCGCTGCATGTGGCTGGGTGGTGGCCAGAGATTCCTGTCCTCCTGGCCAGCTTATGGGAAGAGTTGGGTGCCTCAGACCTGGACTGCAGGTTCTGGGCATGTGGGGTGCTGCCAAGCCTTGCCGCAGTTTTCTCTTGTGCATGGGGGCTGCCTGGCTGTCCTGCTGACTCCGGCCCCGAGGGCTTGGCTTTCTGGCGGTCTGGGTCATGGGCTTGGATTCCGGGACCAGTATCATCACTGAGTGCTGCCACGGGCCAGCGGGTGCTGTGCCCTGGGAAGGCATTTGTCTCGTTTCGTTTCCCAGCACCAGCGCTACCTGGCTGCTCATGAGGTTCTGGTCCAGACAGGTGCTTTTACTGCCATTTTTATAGAAGGATATCTTATTTTTATACATGCCAGTGAAAGTTTAAAATACACAAAGAATGAAGTCAAAACCAACAGATCCTTTTATACTGAAGTATTCCTATTTTAGGGTTGTGCTGATTGCTGTTCAGTAGATCTTAGTTCTGTAAGTGATATTATTATGGAAAGATTGCTAAAAGCCAGGTCTTGGGCATGACCACTGGACACTTTGGTTTAGCCAGTATTGGCTTTGACTTTATCCCCCACCCATGGGCTGGCCTGCCGTTGCTGTCTCTCCTCCTGCAGTGTCGCCTCTCTATGCTGGCCCAGGCCTTCACTCTCACAGCCCTGCCTGTGCCTGGCCCTCTCTCTGAGGCTGCATCTGGCTCTGCTAGCTGGTGTCCCAGTTCCTAGCTACCACCTGTCAGTGCCTCCTGGCCAGACACTCTGGAGCCAGGGTTGGGCACTTCCCATGCAGAGCTTGTCCATCAAGTGGTCTCTAAACAACTTGAGAGCTGAGTTATTTCTACCAGGTTAGGGACAGAGTATTTTGGAGGGACCCCCAGATGGCATGACAGCCACCGCTGTTTTACACCTGCTCTCAGGCACCACCCGGGGACTGTTCTAAGCTGCAGGACTCCAATTGCCATGGTCTGGTTAACACAGCCTCCAGGCCTCACCTGGTACACACACTTGGCCTAGGACGTGCTGGCTGCTTCTGGCTGGCCTGCCTTCTCCAGTCCTTGGAGAACTGAGGCTGAGGGTGGGAGAGCTTGATAGGCAGGGACCATCCCAGCACGGAGCGGGTGTTCCTGTGCAGCGCGGTCAGCCCCTTTCCTGACGATGTCAGACCAGGCAGGCCCCCCTGTAGAGAGGGACGCAAGGGAAAGGCAGAGCGCTGCAGACAGTCGTACACAATCCAGTGACTCCCTGGAAGCCAGATTGTGGCTGGCTGTGCGTGTAGAGCAGCTGGAATTCACACTGCTTTGTGACTGGAAGTTGTGACAGCTGCTGTGGCAGGTAGTGTACATGGGCGTGTGCGGTTGTGAGTCCTCATTTGCACGCCCCCTCCTGGACGCATCCAGGTGAACGCCGGGGGCGGGGGCGGGGCCTCTCCCCCCCCCCCCCAGCGCTGTTCGGGAGCAGAGTGTGCCCCAGCAGAACGTGCTCACAGGTGTTCCGTCTTGTACTTGAGGAAGTGAATTGGAGGGTTACAGCTCTGAACTGAGAAAGTCGCGGAAGCTGAGCAGTGCCACGTGCCCGGGTCAGGCTGCTGTGTCTTGCAGGCACGTCGCTTCTGCTGATTGGTGTTTCCCTTTTACTGTACATGGGGGTAGGAGTAGTTAATAATGCATGCAGGGTGCTTAGAATAGAGTCCAGGGCGTCAGTGTCCTTGCTGTACAGGAAGCAGTATTACTGTTCTGCACAACGTATTTTCTGTGGATTCAAGTGACATGCAATGAGAATGTATCGCCATGAATTGGAATGATGGCAGGAGGTCGCTGCTGTGCCCCGCAGGCTGGAGAGGCCGCTGGAATCACAGGGCTTGTGGCGACTTCACTTGTTTTTTTGTTTGTTCCCTCTCACCGGAGCACTAAGATTTAACATGTTAATGTGTGTTCTTTTTAACTCCTTCAAAGTGTATCAAAATAAAACATTTTAAAAGATGGAGTCTGTTGTCCTATAATTTAAAAAAATTCCAACTCTGCCATTTACAAGTTACTTAGAACAAGCTACTTGATTAAGGCTTTAGTGTCCTAACTTGACCAAATTGTTATGAAAGGGACAACTAAAGAGCTCTATGATAGTTTTTTTTTTTTGTTTTGTTTTGTTTTGTTTTGTTTTTTTTCAATTCGGAAGCAGATACTTTATTAACTGACCAAATCATAAAAACACCATGGTAGATACCTTAGTTCATCTTCTGATAAGCCTGCTGATCTGATCTTCTGCTTCCAGCATCTCCACCTTCCACACAATGGGTGGTCTTTTTCTTCCTTCCACTTGTGGAGACGATAACTTGAACAGTTACAGGAAGTTATTTGCCTCTTTGAAGCATTTTCCAGCAGTATAGATCTCGTGACTCAGATCCTCAATGCAGATGATGCCATATTTACCAAGAGATCGAGCAGTCGATGAATTACCTGTCAAGGCAATTGGCTTCTTACTGCCGGTGCCTTAGCCACGCTTGTATATTAGTTCATTCACTCACTTCAGGTTTGGGTGCCCCCATGCAATAGGCGGCTCTACAGTTCTCAGCCTTATTAATTGAAGCCTTGCTGAGCTTAATGAAGGTACCACTGCAGATTTGGCGAAGGCGAAGAAGCTGCAACATGTTGCGGACCTTTGGGCTCACACCATTGATACCCCTGATCCGGATGACAAGTGCTGGCTTGGGCTCTGCAGGGATGTAGAAGTTGCAGCTTCTCTCCATCCTAGCCATTCGGATCTCGGCTCTGTACATCTGCCTACTCCGTAGGATAGTGCCTGGCTTTTTCATAGATGAGCTTCCTCCTCAGCTTGCGAAGCATCTTCTGGGCAAACTTCTTTCTCAGGCATTTTATTTTCAACTCCGTGAAATGTCTTTGCTTTTTCTTAAGGGTTTCTGGCACAGCAGGCTCCTTTTTCTTCTCTTTTACACTCTCCATGGTTCCAGCTGGAAAAGAGCTCTACGGTAGTTTAAAAGAATATGTGAGGAAAGGAAATGGAGGCAGGCAGTGCTAGAGTGGCCAGCGGCCCAGGACAGTGGAGCTGTACTGGAGTGTGTCCCATTTCTAGTGTGTAGTTGCTGACTGCTCCTGGGTCTTCCTCTCACGTCCCGCATCTGGGCATGCTGCTGAGACAGCCCAGGGGCTCCCTCAGAGCACCAGCGAGGTGGTCACACTGCAGACCTTGCTTCCTGAAACCACAGTAAGCAGAGGCACGTTTGTTCCAGCTGTTACGTAGTAGCAGAGGGTGGTTTTGCTCAGTTTAGGTAGCAATCATGGTGGACAGAGTTGCTCCTTTGGTGTGAGAACCTCTAGATGGTGAGCACCAGTGCCTGTCAGCTCCCGATGTCAGCAGCTGGGGCCTGCCGCTGCTGGCCACTCCTGGGCGCCTCCACCAGCTGTAGCCAGCAGCCACCATGAGTCCTCAGACTCACCCTCAGCTGTTGCTTTGCTCTTTCCCCAGTCTTGACTGTTAGCTGGACAGTGATACCACTTCTTAGTGCAACAAGCTGCCCTGTGTGCTGGACACATGATGAGCAGGCAGAGGCTCCCGTGTAAGGGAGGGCAGTTCCTGGACTGACCTGGTAAGAGTCAGGGCAAGTTTGTTTCCTGCAGGCCACCACCACCAAGAAGGTGGGTTCACACACGTGTGATGTCTACTTGTGAATCGGGAGAGGGGCTCCTCGCAGACCAGACTGGACATCTGATGCTGGCCAGTCCAGACTATCCTGGGATCACTGGGCTTTCTGCCTCGAAGTGGAAGTGACCAGTCAGGTGCCTGCCCTGCCCTGCTTGCACGCAGGTGTCTGTTGGGGCTGTGGAGTGGAACCAGTTGCTGTTACCAGTTTGCTGTCACTGTCGCAACTCTGAGATAACACTTTGGCTCATGATTTCAACCAAGTTCACTTGGCTTTGCTGCTGGTAGGCCTGCTTTAAGGCAGTGGATCGTGGTAGCATATGGGGTACACATCTGCTACTTTGTGGTGGTTGCAAAGAAGGGGACAGGGTCCCAGTGTTCCCTGTAGGGGTGTCCATCCCCAAGGAACCAGCTTCCCACTAGGCCTACCTCTTAGAGGTTCCACTGCCTGATAGCACCCTAAAGTCAAGACCCTTTGGAGGACACTTCTCCAAACCATAGCTCCAGTATAGCTTTTGTCCTCCCAGCTCAGCACTACGTCTGGCAGAACATTCAGATGAGTCTGCTGTGCACAGGGGGCAGCAGTGAGGAGGCTACCGTTTAAAGGCATGTCATTTGCTGGGTGTCCAAGTGCATGCCTATGGTCCCAGCACTTGGGAAGCCGAGGCAGGAGGATCGTGAGTTGGAGACCAGCCTGGGCTACAACGTGAGCTCAGGGCCAGCCTCAGCTTTATATAGAGAGCCTGTCTCAAAAAGACTAAATAAAATTCTGTCACTTGTCTGCAGCAGTATTGCTTCTGGCTGAAGGTTAAACTGCAGGCGTGTTTAATAAATTAAAGCTGTATGGTAGCCTAAAAAGACGTGTGTGTGATAGTGTTCTGCTGGGGTGGCCTTTCTGGTTTGTGTATGAGTGGATGTGGAATGCCTGTTTGTGTATCCAAGACAACGCAGAAGCCTGGCACAGAAGGGGGGAGAAGTGGGTAGGGAACGTTCGCGCTGGCCTCTGGCACAGAATTCCCGAAGAGCACAGTGCTGTGTAGAAGGTGAGTGTGTGCCCGAGACTGTGGGAAATGGAGTGGTGAGCAACCAAGATGGCTTCTCAGAGGCTCAGCGTGAGCACACTGAAAGATGACTTGGGGAAGAAAACAGGAGATTCCCCAGGAGCCAGGAAGGGTTGGCCGGAAATGGAAACCTACAGAGAAACTCGAGAGAACATGAACATACTTTGAGGAGAATCATGACCTAAAACCAAACCAAAACAACAAAAAAAACCACCCATAGCCTCTTCACCCTGATACAAGACTTTGAAATACAGTTGATGATTCTGAGTCAGGGGCCAGGGATTTAGCTCAGTGGTACAGTACCAGCCTGGCAAGCATGAAGTCCTGAGTTCAACTCCCAGTATCCCCCTCAAAAGCAGAATAATTATGAATCAGCCAGCATTTACAGAGCAGCTCCAGGAAAAGCAGAACTCGGAAACACAGCCCCTCTCTCCCTCTAAAATCCCCCCAGCAAGACACCTCAAGCAGTTTTCTCATGGTAATCTCCTGGAGGGGGGCAATAGTGGGTACCATTCTTGGTCTAGCTAACGTAACGGATGGGCTCTAGACAAGCCTCGTGGCATCCCACCACCCTGAGATGTTTTCCTTCAAGGCTAAGGCAGGGTTGGCCGCTAGGGTGACTGACCACCTTTGTCTCACTTCTGCATCGCTGGTGTAAGAGGCAGCCTCCCCCACAGCTCAGGGTCCAGCCTGGTTTTGAGCCTTTTTAGTGGCTGGGACTGCACACCATTATAATTCACCCAAAAATCCCTCCTGGTCTCTGGTTTCTTGGAATTCTGAAACACAGGTGTCTCTCCACAGTCTGTCCCCGAAATGAATAGTACTTCTGCCTGTGTCAAATTCTTTGTAGCTTTTTTTGCCCCAGTATTTTATTTTTACTTTGTAGTCCTGGTGAGTGAATCCAAGACCTTTACGTTGAACTATATCACTAGCTTTTGAGACCGGGCCTTGCTAAGTTGCCCAGGCTGTGCTTACATCTGCAAAGCTCCTGCTGTAAGGGTCAAGTCGCCGCAAAGGAAGACCCCAAGAGTCGGTCTCATGCAAATCACAAAGGGGAAGTTTTATTATCTACGTATACGTAGGGCGGTCTGAACGTGCAGGAACAGAGCGTGCCTTTAGTGAAACAGGCATAGTTTTTAAAGGTGAAAACCACAAAACGGTGGGAGCAAGCACGTTACAGAAGCAGATCGCATTGGTTAGTTTAGGTTGACCTTTAAAATAATTGGTGGATTACAATACCGGATGGCCAGATGGAGTAAGTCTGGGGGTAGCTGGGGGAACTAACCTTGTGGTTGTCATATTCCGGGAACGTTTTTAAGAAATCGGGGCACTGTGACCTGGGACATCCTGTTGTTATGGCTTTCAATGGTGAGGCCTTGGGTTTGGGAATGTATGTCTCTTGCAAGAATTTAAACAAGGGGAGGGCCAAGGGCAACTTCTTGGCTGACTCAGTGGTTTTAGTTGTTTTCCAAGTAACGGGACCTC